GCTTGTTGCATCCTTCTGGCATAAAAATGCCTTCTTACAGCCAAAGACGGTGGGTGGAAAATCCCAAGTGGGGGATGGGTGAGTGGGTGGGAAAAGCCAACGCCGACAGCGGCGCCTGCAACGCTATTCTCCTTCTTCTTTATTGTTGCTTGTTGTTGGCGTAATCGAAAGATGCGTTTGGCAATGTGGGTGGCAGAAATGGTTGGGTGGGTTGGGAAAACCACTACATAGACACACGGAATTAGGGTGTGGGAATGGCCCACAATATTGCCCAACACCTGCTGCTTCTTAATACACCAACACACACATACACACACACACCCGGAAACTTTCTGCGCTCTCGCTTCCTCGCTGCAAATAAAAAATATATATATGTGCAGCTTGTTGCTTTCGGCCACCCCCCCACATTCCCTCCCCCCCAACCAACATTATAATGCATCTCTTTCTCTTCTATATATTCGAGATTTTTTTCTCTCTATTCTCCTCTATTTATTAAATTTTTTTTTGTAAATAAAGGCAAAGGAAAAGTTTGGCTTTTTAATATGTTTACACCCCATCGGGCGGAGGTGGGGTAGTTTTCCAGGCAAACAAACTAAATAGAAAGGATTCGGGTGAGAATAGTGGAAGGAGCTGGACTCGACTGACTATGCAACAAGTTAAATCCTTGTTGGGGTTTGTTCTCTGCTGTATAACTTTTTCGCATGGAAATATAAGCTTAACAAAATATTTACCTGAGCTTTTTATTGCTTTATTCGGGTAGATTGTATTATCTCACGGAAATCTTATACAGAAGCTGTGATTTAAGACCAGTGGCTTCCTATTTTGACTTGGAGTTTCTTGGCCCTAACTTTGGCTCATAATTATAAGCTTTAAATATCCTTTTGTAAAATGGACTTAATTAAAGGTCACTTACCTAAGTTTTAAATTGAAGTTTTGATTGAACATTTGTATTTAAATTTATTTATTTAATTTAGATAATATATATATTTGCATTGGCTCTTAAATTAAATTTTTTGATCAAACTTTCTTTTTGTATTTTGAATCAGTTATTTATTTTATTTCCCTTTGACAATTTAAAGATATACTTAAAGGGCAATTCCAGATTAAAATCCTGCAATTCTAACAGTCCTAAAATGTCAATTCAACTGGACATTAGGGTTCGAGGAAATAAGCCAACATTTCTTCTAATAGAGATACAGAGTAAAATGTAATTTTGAACCCCTAGTCCCCAGACAAATTTGCCCATAACCACCGCCATCGAAAATTACCTTTATGCAGCTTATATAATTTGGTTAGTGTAATCTCCTTTATGCCGGCGCTCGGTTTGGCATACAGATGGCTGCCCAACCGACTCCGAACACACACCTGAATCCACAAGTGGATGGGCTCCCATTACAATCAAATGAAACTCCACCACTGATTCACTGATTGAGCCATTGCCAACAACAGTTGGGTGGGGAAAATGGGAAATGCAACAGGCGAGATTTCCCATCAACACTAGTCCCCAGCCCACTTTGCCACCCACTGGCCCACCCCCCCAGAGAACCACCCACCCAAACCCAGGCCAACCAACGACGTCTTTGTCTTCCTCTTCAGCTTCGATCAGCATCGTTTTTCTGGGTGGTCCAAAGTGGGTTTGAGTTTTGGGGAAGGGGGGTGTATGAAAAAAAATCTAGAGAAAAAGTTAAAAAAAAGAAATGCAGGAAAATTCGTTGGCGACGAAAATCGGCCACAAAAACAGGCGAGGAAAACGCTCGCTCCTCGTTGGCTCGTCCTTCGGTTCGGCTTCGTTCGTTTGCCAATTGTTGCAGTAGATTTTCCTGCTGTTTTTGTAGTAGTTTTCCCTGTCTCATACCCCCCACCCTCCCTGCCTCACCCCACCCCTCTATAGTTCTGGCTGCCTTTTCGGCAAACGCATTCGGCACTCATCGTCTGCAATTTTTATATTGTGCAATATATTTCGTAGGGACACCCACCTCCTGCGCATGTGTGTGTGTGTGTGTTGGTGTGTGAGGGTGGGCGGGTGTGTGTGTGCGTGTGCTTAAGTGCGCTTCGTTATCTCCAGCAGAGCACTTCGTTTTGGCCACCCCTCCCTCCGTGCTTAACCCATGTTGGCTAGAACTAACCCGAAACCCAGACCCCCAAAAGCCAGACACCCGTGCATATATATCCTTTTTTTTTTTTTTTTTTTTTTTTTTGCCTGGCTTCTTTCACATTTTGCTGCAGCTTCGTGCAGCGAGGACAACGAAGTCGTCGTCGCCGGAGAGCCGAGCAAAAATTGTCGCTGGAAAAATGTGCTAAGGGTTTTCCTAGCCAAGGGTGGGAGGGGGGAAAAACCACTGGAAGCGGTGCCGCTGTCTCTGTGTTTGTGCGGGAATGTCAACTAGAAACAAGGACGATAAGCATTATGGAGCGCATTGAGGAAGTAATTGAGTGCACGAGACAGGGACGCAAGGCAAGGACGTGGATGTGTTTGTGTGTGTGTGTATTGGCGAGAAAAAAAAACACATATATATATATATTTGTACATGGAGAGCGGCATTTATATAGCCACCCACTAGTCGCCTTTGCAACAACAAAAGGCATTTAACATTTTAATGTGGGGTTTGGGCTTAGCTTTGGGTCGCTGGCAACGTGCTAAACGTGCTCAAAAACCGAAATGAGTGTTTTCAGGCAAAAGGATACGGCTGAAGCAGCCGCCAGGAGCCGAAGAAATATATATCCAAGGGTGACACCAGAGTCAAGCCAAAGAAAAAAGGGCTTTATGTTAATTTTCCCTAGTGTTTGCCCAGACTCCTGTGCTTTTTTTTCATGCCCAAACATATGGCCCGGACGTAAGCCGCCCAGTCGATGTTGATTAGGTCTGGCTAAAGTCAATTTCAGGCGAACAACTTGCAAGCACTTCATTTGCCATTTACACGGGCCAAATCCCATTTGCGACCTTAATATGAACGATGAGGCCAAGGAGGGCAGCTTGGAAAATAGCGAAAAAAATCAGCAGTTTGAAAGAGCTTCACATAGATATGTAGTATACAATATCCGAGGGTGCGATGCTCCAGCCACCTAGCACAAAAATTATTCTGCTTATTGGCTTTGGGTGCTTTTTTTTTCGACACCTTCAGCTTTCAACGGATTTTAATTGGATTGGATAAAGGGGAGGATAATTTCTAAAGGGTATGAGTAAAATCGATTTTGCAAAATGAATCCTTTTTTTTTTTACGTGCTACGGTTAAAAGAAGAAACTTAAAATGTATAATAAAATTCTCCAAATGAAAAAAGTTTACCATTCATAATAATAACTAACTAACGTTAAATTAAATTTGGTAAAGTTATGGAGGTCCAATTGGGGGTAACCTCATTAAAAGTCATCGGAAACACGGAATAACTAACATGAAAATGGGTCAAAAATTTGATCAACGTTAAAATTAAAATTTTGAATGCAGATTTTTAGAGGATCAAACCACGAGTCGTAAAAGGTATGCCACTTTGATATCGGATTAAATTTAGTAAAGTCACAGAATCTGGAAGTGCAATTGTGGGTCACCTTATTACATGACATCGAAAACTTGGAAAAAAGTGACATGAAAATGGGTCCAAAATTTGATCATCGTTAAAATGAAAATTTTGAATGCAGATTTTTAGAGGATCAAACCACGAGTCGTAAGAGGTATGCCACTTCAAAATCGGATTAAATTTGGTAAAGTTATAGAATCTGGAAGTGGAATTGTGGGTTACCTTATTACATGTCACCGAAAACTTGGAAATAAGTGACATGAAAATGGGTCAAAAATTTGATCAACGTTAAAATGAAAATTTTGAATGCAGATTTTTAGAGGATCAAACCACGAGTCGTAAGAGGTATGCCACTTCAAAATCGGATTAAATTTGGTAAAGTTATAGAATCTGGAAGTGGAATTGTGGGTTACCTTATTACATGTCATCGAAAACTTGGAAATAAATGACATGAAAATGGGTCCAAAATTTGATCAACGTTAAAATAAAAATTTTGAATGCAGATTTTTAGAGGATCAAACCACGAGTCGTAAGAGGTATGCCACTTTGAAATCGGATTAAATTTGGTAAAGTTATAGAATCTGGAAGTGCAATTGTGGGTCACCTTATTACAAGTCATCGGAAACTTGGAAATAAATGACATGAAAATGGGTCCAAAATTTGATCAACGTTAAAATGAAAATTTTGAATGCAGATTTTTAGAGGATCAAACCACGAGTCGTAAGAGGTATGCCACTTTGAAATCGGATTAAATTTGGTAAAGTTATAGAATCTGGAAGTGCAATTGTGGGTCACCTTATTACAAGTCATCGGAAACTTGGAAATAAATGACATGAAAATGGGTCCAAAATTTGATCAACGTTGAAATGAAAATTTTGAATGCAGATTTTTAGAGGATCAAACCACGAGTCGTAAGAGGTATGCCACTTTGAAATCGGATTAAATTTGGTAAAGTTATAGAATCTGGAAGTGAAATTGTGGGTCACCTGATTACATGTCATCGAAAACTTGGAAATAAATGACATGAAAATGGGTCCAAAATTTGATCAACGTTGAAATGAAAGTTTTGAATGCAGATTTTTAGAGGATCAAATCACGAGTCGTAAGAGGTATGCCACTTTGAAATCGGATTAAATTTGGTAAAGTTATAGAATCTGGAAGTGCAATTGTGGGTCACCTTATTACAAGTCATCGGAAACTTGGAAATAAATGACATGAAAATGGGTCCAAAATTTGATCAACGTTAAAATGAAAATTTTGAATGCAGATTTTTAGAGAATCAAACCACGAGTCGTAAGAGGTATGCCACTTCAAAATCTGATTAAATTTGGTGAAGTAAGGACTTTCAAACCAAAAGTATTAAAAGGTATGTGACATTTAAATCTGCATCAATTTTGGTATAAAAAGGTATAGGTGTTTTTCTAAGCACCTATTTATTATTTATTTATATTTAGTTTGGTTTATTGATAAATTTGAATAAAACTCACCCACAATGTGCAGCATATCCTTGGACCATTTCAGCAGCTCCCTTTTGATGAGCCGACGCTCTTGCAGACATCTGGCAAATGAACAGTCGGCCATAGTTTTTATGTTTTTGGGAGATCTGGGCGATATAGTTAAATCGCAACTGTACCTGCAATGCACAAAAGCGAAACGCCAACACAATTAGCTGGAAATGACAAACAAAAAAAAAAACAACGAAAAATTTCCCCAATGGAAATGAGTGTTAATTTATTAAATCTATAATACGCCATATAAAATTTCATTTTCTGTTGTTGTTGCCGCATTTTCGAACGCTACGAAATGATTAAACGAGTTTTGTTTCAAGGTTATCGCGAAAACACACAAAACCTGTTGCACTTTAGATTTGTTTTTGTTGTTTTCGTCTTATTATTTCATATGCTGAAAATTTATTTATTTTTCTTGATTTTGTTGTTGCATTCTTGCTAAGCCACCAGTGTGTGGTTGTTGTTTTCACTATTTTTTTTTTGCAGTTCTAGTTGCCGATGTTGTTGTATTTTGTGGTTTATTTTTTCAGAGTATTGGTGGGGCTTTTACTATTCGGGCAGCTACCAGTTTTTGATATTTCCTAGTTACAAGTACAGTGAGCTTCAGATAAGTAAAGACATTTATTTGCCTTTCCATAATAAATTTGAGTTCTGTGGAAAATCCCTTTGGCTAGAAGTCCAAAAGAGGTACCTAAACTGACAAAATAAGTATTTTAAAAACGATTGATTTTAGTGATTATCAATTTATTTATTTTCATAACAAATATTTCATATATGTTAAGATTTTAAAACATCAATATTTGTTTTCCTTATTTTATAATAATTGTCGTTACACAAAAAATAGTTTAGGCGAAATCTATTTGATCAATAAGCACTTAAGCCGCATTAATGTTCTGAAACTCACTGCACAATTGAATAAGTAGACAGCAATATTTTTTGCTGTTTAAGCTGTCTATTACATTAATTTATTCAAATGCCGTTGTCGTTGTTGTCGCTTTGCATTAAATTAGTTTTGTTTCATTATTAAAAAGTCGTAAATTGCGAAACGTGTTTGGGATTTCGCTATGAGTTTGGCTAACTCAATGAGTGCCACTTAATATCTGCCCGCCTGGATATAATGAGATGCATCGGAACTTTTATGGACTGCATTCCTATTTCGGGTAATTTCAAGCACTACGAAGGGGTTTTTTTTCGGTGGGCTATGAATGAAAATCCCAACCTGTAATTGCCTGTTGGCTGATAAATGATTAAATCTGATAGGATGCAATTTGAGTTCTCCCCACCGCTCAACTCTCGGTTTTTCCTATTCTCCTTTGGCCTGTGCTATGCTCTATGACAGCCACTAAATTTTCATGTTTACCTCAACGGATATTTGCCTACCGAAAACCAAAAAAAAACCGGCTCCCATTTTCCAGCCCCTTCGAAGGAAATTACAATAGCAGCCGAAGAGCTGGAAAAAGTAATTGAGATTCTAATATCAGATAGCAGATATGCTGATGTCGGCTTACATGACCGGGCCAGAAGCACCAGCTGCGATCTGCGAGGCCTAGTAAAACAGGTAGCCCAAAGAGCGTTTTCGAGATGTTTACGCTGATGAAAAATTACTCCAGCTGCCATGGCCAAAGGCGGGCAATGCCAAAGTCAGAGCCAAAGTTAGCCCAACAACCCAACGAACAGCGACCATCGAACAGCAGGTTGGCGTGCCGAGCAGTAGCTTTGTGGGCGTGTCAACGGAGCACGCGGCCGAACAGCAGCCAACTGATGATGGACGTTGATTATGATGGACGTTGCCGGCCTACCAAGAAGAACCAGCCACCAGCCACCAGCCACCAGCAGCTCAGGCTGATGAACAGAACAGAAGCTTCGAAAACCGGCAGAAGAGGCTGCCAGCAATTTGCCAGGGTGGAGCAGCACAGCAAAAAAATATCATCAAAATGGTATTACACCATTAAGGGATCTCTATTTTTATCAGGCAGTTACGAGTTGACATCCACTGACATTTCAAATTATCAAAAAATATTTTCTTAAACTAAAAAAGTGCATTTCTTACAAGGGTTTCATTTAAAAAATAGTTCATCAGATCTTCTCCATCTAATTTTGTGACATTTCAACTCATCAAAAAATAATGTTATAATTTAAAATTTATATAATTTATATCAGTAACAATTCTTTACATAGGATATTTTTTTCATCGTATAAACATATTTTTTCAAACTAATAACAGAGGGGGATTATTCTAACCGTTTCATTACAAATCATGTCTCTTTAAACAATAACGTATGATTTTCTTTTAATGACTTTTCAACAATCTATATAAAAAAGAATGCGTAATGTAAACTTTTAATACATACAGATATGAAATAAATATTTATAACAATAATATAATATATGGTCAGTATAATAAGGCAACTATGACTGGTTTTTTCTGTGCACAAGAGCGAGCAAACGAGATGGTAGATTGAGCGATTCTTAGGGCCAGCCCAACGCCTTCTTTTTGGTATTATTTTAAGTAATTTTCTAATTAAAACTAAATCAAGTTTCCCTCGAAGGAAATGCCAAACATTCCCTGGCATATCCGTTGATACAGCTGGGCTGTCACACACAAATATGCAAAGTCAATGCTTATTTTGAGCTCTGCGGCTTCCTGCCTTTCGCATCGGGCTGAGAATCGGAGACAGGCCCAAGACAGACTACATATACGTGTTACAGATACAAAAGCTGGGGGGGGAATACATTCACTCGAAAGCTTTTTATAATAAATGCCACAGTATCTGGTGGCTGTCGGTATTCGTATCTCGCTCGCCTGCATTTGATTTCATAAATAAAACAAAATATCAAGGCCGCCCTGCTAGAAGCTAGAAGCTAGAAACTCGTAGCCATATAATATGTATGGCTGTGGAATATATAGAATGCGAAATCACAAAAAAATGGCAGCAATTGATTGGCTGGCCAAAGGTTCTGAGCCACGACAGATCACAAAATGTTGCCTAGAACAAAACGAGTTAATATCAATTGGATTGGTTTTGGTTCGGTTCTGTTTGGCTGGGATTGGATTGGATGTGATCTGGGCACAAAGTGCATTTCGGCTAACCAGTTTCGAACGACGGCTGCACTCGATTCTCATTAGCTCAAAGTTGAAGTGTTGTGGCCCCAAGACTTGGCCCGAATTTCAGCCAATGTTAAGGCCTTGAAATCGTTTTGGCAGTACTATTTGTTCTCTATTGTTCCCAATTGCTCGGGATGCTTTGCATGCCTGACAGCCTTCGCTTTTTGTTATTCTAAATACTCAATTTGCATAGCAATTTTTTACACTCTTTTCGCCATTCATATTCATATCCAATCGATGAATTTATTACTAATTTATCGTTTTTGTAACCGCCCGGAAAAAGGCGGAAATAATCGCTTACAATTCGCGTTTTTTTATCGCCCCCAAAGTGTTCTCATAATTTTATTAATTATGTGCTGTTTGTTTAGAGATTTACTTTCTAGAAAATTTGATTATGGATTTCCATGGTGGCTGATTGCATGATCTTTTTATTGAGATGTTGCGATCGACCTTCGCATAGTAAAATGTGTTAATTAAAGTGGTTTAAATTGTGCAAATATGTTAATTCCGATTAATTTGAATGGGAATAATATGTTAAGCAGTGTGCAAAAAACATGAGGAAGCTTGGTGTGCCTTAAGTGGAAGCTTTAAAAATATATTAGAATTTTAAAAAGCGGAGGGAGTGCATTCTGGAATTTTAAAAAAAATTATTTTATATTGCTTCCTGTTTTAATATAAAAACAGAAATAAAGTCTTCTTAAACTGGTATGGTATGATAATAATATTTACAAAATAAATAAAATATAGCTCTGTTATTCTGTCTTGTGGAAATAAATAATGAGTAATATTTGTTAAATACGCGGTCTTTATATTTTATCTTTTTTTCAAAAAGTGTTCTTTAAAAGGTATAAAATACGTATGATTTTGTGATCTCATGTCGTATGAGTAATATTTGCCAAAGTGTTCTACTGGCTATTTATCTGCCTTCAACATATCCGTTGACCCTGAAGCCGACATCTGCTGATTACAGATCATTATCATTAGGCACTATTTGTCGTTTGTGCAGTGGCCAGCAGCAACGCCATGACAACTCTCACCTGTTGCAGGTTGCAAGTTGCTGCGGGCGTGTGCAACATCGGCTAACTAAAGCAAGATGAGCACGCGCCACAACGGCACAGCACAATGACAGGAAGATCGAAAACGAAACCAAAGTCAAGTTGTTGTTGCCTGTTGGTTGGCTAGTTAACTGGCCAACTAACTGGCTAACAGGCTGCTGGCTCAGTTACAGTAACACACATTCGCCGGTTTGTTGTAGGTTGCAGTGTGCAGTGTGCAGAGTGCAGCTTGCAACTATATCCATAGCCATAGCCTCAGCCATTGTATGCAGTCAAGCGCATTTCCATTTCTAACGTTGATCTGCGATCTGCGGCCCAGAGCCCCACGACTCCACTTCGCGAGCCTGGTTAGTAAGGTCGAGCCTGCCCCTCGTTCATGGCCCAGCTCACCTACAAAAACGGCCAAGAGAAAAAATGAAAAAAAAATCGACAATAAAAAAATAAATACAACTCTACAACAACCGAGGAAAGACAAGTTTAGAGGCGGTGTGTGTGCCAAGTATTGCCATTGGACTTGCTCTTGGCTTAAGCGTTGGCCATTGGCTGATTTATTGTCCATATGGGCAGTAGATTGCACTTGACCTCAATGAAGTTCTCCGGCAGCAAAACAGCATTTAATTCCAAGACCCCCGAAAGTGCCAAAAACTTAATTTCCTGCCCGCAAAAACGGAGCACAAGCTTGGCAAAGTTTTGCCGTTGACATTGATTGCATAAACGGATAGAGAACGCCGCCCCAAGAGATGTTTTTAAATCAAATAATGAAATGAAACAAGAGGAGCCAGCCGGCAACAACAACAACAGAGTGCCTCTCTGTGGGTGAAATGAAGTTAAATGCCGCTCAAGGATGCTAAATGTGCCATGTCGAAATGTGTTGTCTGTGCATTTGTATGAAACTATTTGGCTGCCGGCATTGTGTATGTCGTTGCCATTGTCCCTATCTACTTCAGTTTGTGTGTCTGTATGT